TATGAGGGTTTTTATTGACACCTTCTTCAATTAGATCAATATTTCTTTGACTTACAGCTTCATTGGGCCTTCCTGAACGTGGTTTTTCTTCAATATTTTCTTCTCCACTTTCAAACTTATTAATCCACTGTCTGATTGTCACAATTGAAGGTGCATCATTACCCCATGCATGTGACAAAAGTTGGCGAATTTCCTTGGCCTCCATATTGTTCTTCCAGCAGGTAAGAATAAAGAATCTATAATTTTCGCGGGTAATTGAAGCCATTGGTTTTGATATCAGGTTTTTGAAATTAATTTTCTCACGAACTAACAAAGTAATTGCAATAGAGTTTTTTTTCAGGAGAAACTCAAACTCGCACTTTATTTTCATTGGCTTAAAATTTTTTTACAAAATTTCCTTTTTGAGTAAAAAGCAGACGATCAAAACTTTTCAACCGCCCCACGTAATTACGTTCTCAACTCAAGTACAACCAGATTAACAAAGCTCGGGAGTGGAGAAGGCGTTTCAATGTTAAATTTATTTTGTTTCAGAAATTGCAAAATTGTCAACATTTTATTTAAAGCAGTAAAGGTATGTGAACAGTCCTTTATAAAATAAAAAAACTGCAGCAAGATTATGCTTATACAGTGTGTAAAGAAATTATTGGCAAAAAAATTGCATAGACTTAAAATCGCATAACTTTCCCAAAATAAACCAATTTACGTAAACTTGATTTTGTTTTGATTACGAGCACCTGCGAGAAACTATATTACATTTTTTGGAACATAGGAGTCCGCTCAGCCAAAGATATTCACAAAGACACAAAGATTCCATCTATAATAACTTAAAAAAGTTGGCAGTATAGATCACAAAAAAGGAGCAGGTTGACCGAAAAATCACTCTCTATCTCATTGTTGCTGCACTACATCAGTCAGAATATACACTGATTCCACAATTTAAATCCAATAGAAAATCTTTGGAAGGTTGTTCAAAGAAACGTCGAAAAAGAATGCCACAAATCAGTAAGATTTAAGTCGTTTTATGGTAGAGGCTATTCCAGAAAACATGTCAATTAATTTAGTACAATTGATAAAGTACAGATATGAGTTAGTTATTGAAAGCAATGGATAAAGAATAGCATATTAAAATTTTGCCAACAAATAAAGTCTCACCATAGCATAATCATTAGCTTACTTCCAGATACTGTATCAAGCGTTTGTTGATTTGTCCCATATGAATTTTAATAGTATCTCGTCATAATAAAAGCCTTCAGATTGGAAGGTCCATCCAGTTCTCATCTAAGCTTCTATTTCCTCAAACGCTAAATTCCTTTCATTCTAACAATCATGATCTGATGTTGTTCACACTTAGTTGCCGTTCCATCATATGATTAGAAATTCCCATTACTCTGTAGAACAGATAATAGTGCTTTTTTATGCAAAAATAAACCCACTTATTGGCTTATTCTTCTTTTAAAGTATGATTTGCTAGCTTCCAACAATAAATGTTAATAAAATATCGGAGATGGACCTATAGATGCAACTATACAGATTATATCCTCACATGCACTTCTCCCTTTTGATCCTCTCTACCACATAATTTCTCCAATCATTAATTTCATCGTTGTTTCCCAAACATGTAAGTTTAAACTATTTGCCTGTGTCGAAGTAGGATCTTAGAAGCGTACTGCTGCTGATACTAATGCAGTCATAACTAATTTGTCAAGTTGTTTAGCACCTTATCCTGACAAATTTGGCCTTGCATATGTAAAACGCAGAAATATGGCGATAGTGCCATGACAAAGACGGGATCAGTCAGTTGCAAATGTCAAAATAGCCTTCTACTTCATGATGATCAAGAATATCCGCCGAGTGTTAATGGCATATACTGTGTAAACTTTTGTTCCACATTTCATGCAGCTTTAGAGTCTATATGACTGGCTTGTGAAAGGTTATTAAAGAATTCGAAATTTCGCTCTTTCTGTGTAACAATAACGTCATCTTGGAAGCGCCGTCACACACAACAAATATTTCTTCCATGTGATTTACGTAAAAGTCGGTAATGTAGGCAGGAGATCACTCTGCTTATATGACTGTATTACGAGGAAATAAGGAAAAGTCTATCGGATTGAAGCAAATCTCTAGCGTACAAGACGGGTTCTCAATCACCCCACATTTCGAATTTCTCATCATCCGAATGAATAAGGAAACAAACAATGCAAAATGACGTTATCGTACAGAAACTGGCACAAAAATGGGCTCAATGTTATGATGTCATCAAACATATTGGTCTATAAATATAAGAAGAGAATAGGGATAGGCAGACAGAAAACTAAATCACTCCAAACAAGAACAAAAAATCTTATCAATGAAAAAAGTAATAGTTGCTCTAGATGGTTCAGACCATTCGATGTATGCACTCACATGGGCGTTGAACAATATAATCGATGCTCGCTCAGACACTATCATGCTATTAGCTGTGGGAATATTCAACAACAAATCACCTCCCCTTGAATACTATGCTGCTACGCGTGAGTTGACAACTAAAGGTTTGGGTGGTGGAGGATGAATTAGTGACTTGGACCAATTAGTGGTCAGAAAGTATGTGTAGTGAGTAAGTAGGATCATGCGAATATAGTGAAGAAAGAAGGCCATTGGAATGTTTGATCGTGTACCGATCAATGATGAACCAAACGTACTAATCAAAATTCTTACATGATATAGGCAACATTTTGGATGGTGGGCCAACGGAAGCCATACGAAAAAAGGTGAGGGAAAGAGAGTTGGGTAGAATAGACTGATAATCTGTCAATTGATCGTATCAAGAAGACAAATCTGTTAATACGCTGTTGCACGTATATCAGGCCGAAGATCAAGCAATGGAGATATTAAAGTGTGGGACAGCCGTTATAAACAAACGCTATATCTGTGAACAGAAGGTAATATAGTGCATGTTGAGACTAATTAGACTATAAGCATAAGCTGTTATCTATGGCGTTTCTAACTTAATAGCCAGCAACACTTCAAATATGTAACGTTGCAACTTATACACACCCTGAATCATTTTGTAGGATCTAAAGCTCGAATGCCATGTCCAACTCAACGAGGATGCAGGAACAACAATTACCGAATTCGCCAAGAAGGCTGACGCTGATGTAATTGTCCTAGGTCATCGTGGCACTTCGCTATCCGATGGGGATACTGTTGGAAGCGTTTCACAGTATTGCTTGCATTCAGCTTCATGTACAGTTGTCATCGTCAGGAAGGAGAGCAAAGTAAAAGAGGAGAAGGCACAAGCCATATGATGATGCGCACTTGTTCAAGTCGGTGCGTGTAACACGGCTATGTTCTATGAACCGATCTGGGGATAACCTTTTTGTGAAATTACCCTCACATGTACAGATTAAATAATATTTAATATCTCGTTCCTATGTATTATATATATTATACATTATTATATATATGTAAATAGACGAATTTTCACATGACGACTTTTTCTTTATTTGATCAGTGATTGTGAACTAACTTCATACGACTCGGAGTTGTGGTTTTCCTTGTATGATCGAAAGAAGAATGAGCCGCTCCAGACAAAGATCTTCATATGTCGTTATTGGCACGATATTCTTTTATTGCCAGATGGCAAATATGTGTATAGTCATTACTTATTAAAATTTATGCCATCGAAGGTATCTTGTGATTTGAAATCAAATGGATGATTTAAATTGGCTCTATTTGCGGCAATTCATGAGACTAGACCTTTTTCTGACGGAATTACAATGTGTGTCAAATATTTGCAACCCTTGTTTGGTATGCAAAACCGATTATAACACTAATAAAGTTAGGCCCGGCATAATATTTACAAAAAGAATATGTAATAAGACATACAATATATGTAGATGGCATTCGATACAAAGTTGAGCTGTGAAAACAGTTTGAGTAGTAGGAGATAATAGAGCCAGAACATACAGATAATAGTTTCAAATGCAATACTGATATGAATTATATGCAGTACACGGGAAATTTTTCAGAATCACATGAAAACAATCTCTTTTAAAATACCTCTTTTCAAAATAGAGGCGATTCGCATGCTCTATAATATTACGTGAACACTTTTGATTTGTGATTTGTTTATTTGTTAAGTTTTAACCATAGCAGTTTATGGGAAATGGTACCCATAATGCTTGTACTTTACAACCGCATTCTGGTAGATCCCAAAAACTTCTCCTACTAACGATCTCAAGTAACAACAATTCTACTTCCCATTTGACTATTATCCTAATCTCAATATCAGTATTTATACATTACTCAAAACCGTGCGTCTTCTCACTGAGAGCCATAAAATCAACAAACAAAATTGGCATAAAGTTATTTCTAAGAGGCCATCGGAAAGTGTAGTCAACATTAAAGATTTCCATCAGGCAGTTAGAATGATCGTATAGATATACTGTTTTTCGTTTCTAAAGAAAAATTACCTTTCAGTTATGAGCTTCAGCTTTTGGCCTTTTAGTAGGAATAATTATTAAAAATTTATTTAATCTTCGAAAATGCACATTTTACAAATTAAATAAAAACCCATTACCATGATCAGATGTGACTATAGACAACAATCAATGCTTACATTCTATAGTGATAGGGACTATAATACTGTATATAAGGAAATTTATTGGTAAACATAACTACAGAGGGGCAATCTTTCATTGATAGTATACGATATGCATAACCAACTCCCTGTGCCCCACATCATTAAACTTCCACTACCAAATTTGACTGTCCCTTTAACATGTTGCTCTGTCAGTATACCCCCAGGCTTTTTCCATATCCACTCATGTCCATCAGACCCTAGACAATTGATTTTGGTCTCATCTGACCAGACAACACGTTTCCAATCTTCTATTGTCCAGTGTTGGTACTTTCTAGCAAAGTCAAGATGTTGGCAGATATGTCTGGGTAAAGGCGTGGTTTCGGACAGTTGCATTTTCAGCCATCCACTTTTTTGCTGCATCTTTTAAGTTTGCTTTATAAGGCGCCTTCCCACAATAGTTGAATATTGTATTATTCAGAATGTAAATCACTGTTATTCCATGTTACGTTTGTGATGTTGTTTATTAATGGAAATATATTTTGCGCCGCCATCGTCGCACCTACTCCAACAACTACCCAGAACGCATCTCTATAAGAGATACCAGAATTTGTATCTCTATATTGGCATCGTCGACACAGTTGCCGTTTTTTCCGTCTATAATTTAATGCTGTACGCTAGCCGAGTAATTTTGATAATAAAGCAGAGATGCCTTGGTCTAGTATTTATTGTGTTTGTTTATGTTGACGAGTTTTAATCGGGTTTCTTTTTCTTTGTTGCAGCCCTCAACCCAGCCTCTTTCAAAGCACGGCGTACTGTCTCAGCACCGACTTCAGCATTGCTAATGTCCCTTAACTCCTGAGTAACTTGGGTAGCAGAACCATCTACGCTTATCTGTTGGTTTAAGCTTAGTTGGCCGCCACCCTGACTTTTTTGTATGTCTGGTCTTGACTTTTCACATACTCTATCAACTGTAGCACGACTCACACCCAACTCTGTAGCAATTTTACGTGCTGGCAGTCCCCTATCAAGCAGGGAAACAACATTATTATAAAAGTTTCTTCAGAAATGGGTTTTGTGATGCTACGCTGACGTATTCTCTCCTAAATTTATCCAACGGCGCAGTAACACCAGCGCATTGGTACACAGCAGTGTTACTCACACGCAGTGCTGCAAAAGTCATAATTGTATACCGATAGATGATTAGAAATAGCTGCTAAGAATAGATCAATTAGTCCGCTATAAGTAGCGTAGATTTCAAGAAATCAATAAGTGCATGTTTAGAATGTTCCAATTTCCTTTCGATTCCTTATTATACATAAATGAGTAGTTCTTTATACTCTGAAATACATTGTTAATGATTCATTCCCTGGTAACTTATCGGTATAGCTGAGAAACCGCTAATCCCTATATCGATGAAGAATAATCGCCTCTTGTCCCGCGATTATTCGAGTGGCAAATTACGATAATTAATTGTTATGTAGATGCGCATTGATCAATCGACATTGTGAAGAAGCGGGTTTAAATTCTAATTGTTTGTTGTGCGTCTACAATTTTCGGAATACTGTGTAGTTGGCTTGGCTTATGCAGTCGAGACCAATTGATATTGTAATAGCTGGTAGGCTCACCATGAGCGCGCGAACAATTTGTTAGACATTCTGGGCAAATGCATTTGATTAATCGACGTTGTGTTGTGTGGACAATTACGTCTAATTCTGGAACGGATGGCGTATCGGCTTACTAATACGGTGGAAGCGTTTCTTTTTTTGATTATCAACACCTGGTAGATCCACCTGATTTATTAAAATTTGAAATGGCGTAGACCATTAAGTATTAGTAACTTTAATAGGCACGGCTAATTGTTGGGTTTTCTGAAACCGCCCAAATTGACCTGAACCTGGCAATAAAAAGGTCCTTTTGTGCACGACGTTCAAGTTCCGCTTCAGTCATCAATTCACCAGTGTCTTCCATGATGAAACATCTCTTTTTTGGACGTTTTACAAAATTCGCAAGACTTCCATTATATTAAATCCCGAGATATCCATGCCATGTGTTATTTCGCACCATGTAAATACGATACCACGATCATCTAAAAACAAACATAACAAACAGTGGGTGAATATTGGTATCACCATATGTTCCTGATCAACTATCCATTTATCTGTAGGTTCATGGAATTCACGGAACTCGTCTTTATCATTCTTTAGTGCGTCAACCAAGTATGACAAGCTTGGCAATTTCGGCATGCTTCGTTATTTCCCCCGTTATTAATGACACTGTTCGAGACTTGATAGGGAAATCTGTTCTCCACTTGGCATAAAAAAGTCCAAGCATTCATCTCCGCGCAATTCCCGAACCCCCAATGTTCTAGAGTTGGAATCACATTCCTTTGTCGGATTTCGACCAACCGTTCCCTTTGTTTCCCGTTGTAAGCTGTAATTGATGCACCAAATGCAACGTTGATAATCTTTTCCTGGTTTGATTTCCGAGAGACGTTTATTGCAGCCGGGCGCTTCCAAGATTGGGTTCCATTATATTTATCCATCGATAAATTTGGTTGAGATGTCGAAAAAGAAACTTCGCCTGACTCTGATATGTGAATTTCTCGGGATGAACGAAAAGTTGGTATTTTTTTTTTCCTTCGGGAGGGGAAAATTGATCATGTAAAAGTAACAGAGAGCATCCCATGGGCATAAAAAATTTTCTGGTAAAGTTATGTCACGTAGCTTGGAGTCACATGCGGAAATATTTCTTTGGCAATTTTTAACATCATGAGTAAAGAGCTTATTAAAGAATTGTTTTCTGATATCAAGATTTGGAGTTGATGTAAATTTTTCGTTAAACTTTAGACAAAAAATAGTTAGCATAACCCATACCACTACAAATGTTCATATGTCTTATTATTATTTTTAAATTGCTTGGCCATGAGGCCTTTCACAAGAGAAAAGTGAAGTTGAATTTTATTAATAAAATTTATTGAAATAATTGTTTTTTGCCAAAGTACATAATTAAACTCATTATCATACAAGTGTATTTGCTAACGTTTGTACAAGTTAATAAATAATGAGCCAGTTAGTAAACAGCGATCTATTCTCACCTTTTGCTTCGTGTTTTGCGTCTACAATAACGGACTGATTTCGTTATTAACGCTCAACTTGTCGTTTCTGGCGCAGTTAATACGAAAATTTGTCATGAACAAGGCTGATATAAATCAAAGTGTGAAATAATATAGGCAGTTATTTACAAAAAAATAAAATAAAATCAGAGAGGTGCATGTGTTAATAATCATTATCCATATTCTGGATTATGCGAGTAATTTATAATAATACTCTAGCCCTTTTTCGAATAAAATATACTGCTTCTTTGTTGGGTCGATGGAACTCAAAAAATCATAATGGTTATCTTTGGTAACATTTCGATCTAATCTGCAAATGTAATAATATTAACAAATATTAACCTCACTTATTGTAGGGTATATAAAACACAGCATATTTATGTTATTACAAAGCTGTTGATTGTCTTCTTTCGTTATTCTGTGAACCAATTAATAACTTTATTTCTTTTTAGAATAAAGGATGTCAAAATGACCCTCCAAAGAAAAAATCTCGTACTTTGGAATATATCGAAACTTGAGTTTATCCTTTAATTCTGGTTGGTCTTATTGATCTCTTTTATAGTATACGTACGCGTATATGCATTGATAAGACTTGGTAGAATTACGGGTTAGCATTAATTGTGAGTACATTCACGTAACTATGCTCTTACTTGACCATGTTCAAATGGAAATTTTGAAGTTTTATTACCGTCAGACAGCTTTTATCAATTGTCCAGACAAGAAACCAAGTTTTATAAGTTTCGTAGCTGAATCTACCAACCTAGTCACGTTTCAGATTTAATAGACAGTCTAATCTTAAAAGACAAGCACTGTTATTATACTAATCAGCCGGCATAGTTGTTACGTATTACGGGTTTATTTGATACACCAAAGTATAAAGGATCATAATCACGATATTTATCAATTATAACCTAATCAACCAAACTTGTTCTTTCCCGTGCTAGAGAAGACTTGTACTTTTATGAAGAACAATGATACTTTAGGGAATGTCACATGTTCATTTTCGATCCATTTGCTTCTTATCACTTGATTGTCTGTACAACCAACGACAAATCACCAACATTCTTGGATTGAGCACATTCACCTTTCCTCACTTTTTGACGTCTATTCAGAATAATCTACCAACTTTCTCAAATACTTTATTATTTCTTTCGGAAGCTATCGTCGCTTACACTCAGATTCCCAATGCAATATCTTCCACTCCCAATAAACCTAGATCTACTCGGTATGTGCGCGTATCGCGTATTATACTCTATTCATTACTTGCTATTCACGCACAAAACACTTGGTAGATCAACTTGTATATGAATATCTAAGACACGAGGGAATTCTTAACGAAGAAAGCGTTATAGACGAGTGGAATAAGAAATATAATAAATGTACACATAATGTAGAAAAACTCTGCAAAATCAATGTGAGTTGATGGCGAAAAGAATCACGTCACCTTGAAAGTTTGGGGATGGGTTTTGAGAGTAGCAAAAGGCCTAATGCTTGTAAGTTATTAGTATATTATATAATGTGACTTACATGCGCATTATATATTTGATGTAGGAAATAAGGCAACTCATCAATAAAGGCGAGATACAGGCTGCATTCGAATGTATAAATCAAGTATATCCTGAATTACTATTGAAGCCAAGATTAACGTTCAGACTATATAAACAGCAGGTAGAGTAGCAGGCGTAATTCTAGTTGACAATGCAATTAATAGCTGACTAGTAGGGTGAAAGTACATATAAATTTTAAAGGAATTATAGATCACTAATCTCAATTTGCTCAATCTTACCCATACATAACCCATTAATTAAAATGTTGTCGACATCTTAGTTCATTGAATTATCCCGTGATAAGCAAATCACAAATACAACAGCATTAGAATATCTTCAAAGACATCTCGCTCCGTGTGCACTCTCTTCAGATCCGCACGCATTCACCGAATTTCAACAGACATTATTATCATTAGTGCTCGGGAATAACACGACCGATGACCACAGTAACAGTAATAGTGTTTTCAACTCGATTCTATCCGAAGACAATCTTGGTTCCTCGGTCACACCACCAAAGAGTACGAATAAGACAAGCGACGATTGGTCAATACGAAAAAGAGAGGAACTGGCTGATGATGTATACAATGTTTTATTGAGAAGTATGGGAATTAGAGAGCCTATACTGGCGCTTGGGATACGGTAGGTTTAGTGAAAAGAGAACACGAGTAACGCAGAACAATTTTGGTATGATATGTTTATGTTCTTTATAGCATACCGCGCAATCCTAACTTGATACCTCCCCAATCTCGCATTACCCCCTCCAAAAAAGCTACCTGATAATTATCCATAATACATATCACGCGCTCCGAGGAGAGGAAGCATCAATTCCTGAAGCAGCACAGCTTCTACTCCCAGAACGCGACGAGGAAGACGAAAGCGTTCTATCTCATATGGACGGAATAGCAGGCACTTATGATGGGATTGAAGTGCTGGATACAGATGATATGGAGTAAGTATAGAAAATTGTGAGTAGAGAAGAAAGATTTTGTTAAAGGGCAACACAATAGAATGGAAAAGCAGGAGATATTGGATGAGAGAGAGACACGACAATCGGTCAATTTGGTTCATGCATACTGATCTCGAGTTTTTCTGCTTGTTTCTAATTACCCAGGATTGACCAAGAAGCCGTTATGCTTTTAGCTCAGGTTGGGATGATTGCACGCGACATTTATCTCATTCTCGTTAATCCGGCAACATAGCACATTATTTGCTCAATTCTCACACGAATATACTACATTCCTCTCGATTTCATTATTCCTAACAACCCAGACTGTCGGCATATCTCGCCTACAAGCTCGAATGTCCGTAAAGCGGGCGCATGGTTCTTCCTCGGAAGCGTTATTTAATGAACTTTCCCGGATGCGCATTTCTCGCTCACTTCTTAATGCACTCTGCATCAATTATTACGTTCAACGCACCGCGTTTCCATCTTCCTCTCAACCCCTCCCGTCGTATTCATTTCCTTCTAATTCGTCTTCGCCTATGCTCACACCAAGCACAACCTTGTTAAATACATACCAGCCTCAATCGAGCAATGATTCGATTGAAAGAGTCGGCACCTGCGTTCGAGAAATTGTCATGAAAGGGGAAGGAAACGTCGCAAAGAGAGTTCTAGAGCATTTGAGTACAAGTGGTGTGACATCAGTTTACGATAAATTATGCAAGTGGAACAGAGAGAACGAAGGCATAAAGTGTAAAAATGCGAGTTCGAGAGAGCGTAAGATTGGAGGAAAGCAAAAGAACTGGAGTAAGGACAACGATAGCAACGTGGGGAGGAATGACAACTTTGAGGACAAAATTGAAAACGAAACGATGGATGATGCATTCGTACAGGATACTGCATTCCCGTATGAAGATTTGGAAAAAACTCCCGTCTCTCCACGCTTGTGGTTTGCTTGGAAGCAATGCGAGTTTTTGGAACATTTACGCGTAAATGAATGGGACCAGGCTGTAAGGATATTGAGAGAGGAAATGAGTAAGTAAATGGGTAAAATACGTGTGCGAGTGAAACTTTTTCGCGGTAGTCGATTTGCACGAAAATTCTATTTCATATTAAATGTCTTTCGCTTCTTCTAACATCTACTCACCCGTCTGTTCCCTCGCCTAGGTCCACTGACGATAACATACCCTGATCTCTTAGACCCGCTCAAAGACTGTACTCTTCTCATTGTATACCGTAACTCGACTAAAACGCCGCTTTCCTTTTTGCGCACCTTGTTTACTCGCGAGAGAAGTAACAATTGTGCAGTCGCGGAAGAGAGGAGTATTGGAAATGACGAGAGAGGGCAAGAGAGAGAGATGGTGAATGTAAGAGAAGTTATTGATGGAATTTATGCGAATGTAAGTCAGTTTAAAATATATGAAACCGTGGTTTGCATGATACGTTTATTAGTTTTCTAATAGTCTTACATATGGTCTTTTTTTTTTTTTACTACGCTCAACAACGTCTATCGATTTTTTCCTGCAACATCTCTCCTCCAGTTCAATCCCCAAACCCTCATTCGCCCTCTCTTGACCTCTCTGGCCAGTAGTTCATATTCTCCCTTCGCTACCACTTCCAAAGATGCCGCTTCCCCACCTTCTCTTCCATCGCCTATAGTACCGTCCCTTGTGGTTCTTTTTTCCCATTTGCTTGATATTCATTCTAAATGGTTCGAATATCAACAAAGCGAAGATATATTCCAAAGTCTCTTTCATTTGGATGAGTTGAAAAAGTTGGAGTATTTCCGGGTACCTTTACGACTATGGAAGAACGGAAGTGCGGGTAACATGGATGAAGGGGTTGTTGAGGATAACGAGGATGATGTAATGATGCAAGAGGATGAATTCGGCGAAGAGGAATTGCGAATGGCTGAAGCAAGTGAGTTTATTTATACTTTAATTTGGGAAGAGACAGTTTGCACCTCTACTGGCAAGCTGTATACGATTGTAAAATAGACGGAAATTATAACCAGAGAAAACCTTTTGATCGTTCGTTATAATATGAACGTGATTTCTATTATAGTAGATTGAATAATTTCTTGGATCGTGTTTGTGCTTTGCTTACATGTTTCTGATGTGTATTCAAATTTAGATGCAGTCAGGTTTAATATCGCCGATAATGTAATTACACATATCCAGGAAGTGATGGCATGGCCTAGAGTACAAGGTAATTTAATGGAAATTCAGTAATTTGTAGTCACCCAATCATTACTTACTGTCAAATCACCATTTTTCAGCAATCAACATGCTCATTGAACATGGAGGCAATCCAGAGACCCTCTTAAATGCGATATTCTGATGACGATACGCGACACTCGGTCCTCACATTACATTTCATGCCTATATAGACATTCACTTTGTAAATATTTACTATGTTAAATAACATTACTATTACTGCATTTACGAATAGGTCTCAATTTTGATGCCCACGCTTTGAATTCTGCTATATTAATATTTGACTGCTAAAATAAATTCACACGTTGAAATATGGGTTTTAGGGGTGTTGTGATTTTTAAATAGTTCTCTTATTAACACGATCTTTGAGCCATGAAACATGTATTAATAGCTCAAATGACAATTGAATTATGCTGTACTTTAATGTAACTTTAATCGATAATTAATACTGCGTTTGTAATTTCTACCTATTACTATAGAATTTTATCATTGTTTGATTTCTACAATAAACCAGCAGAACATCAGGGCCGTTGTTGGCTACTGAGCATACAGTATTTGTATTGATAACTGATAAGGAATATGAATCAGAACCTGTAACTTCATTAAAAGTGTGATAATATAATGCGATTGAATGATCCTTAGGAAGGCACTATTGGTTCTACATTTATTGAAACCAGACGATATATTAAGTCAATCACAAATTGACAGTTTCACTACTATTGGTTGGCACATGATAAAATCATATGTTATAAATTTTCGCGTGGAATACGTAATTGCTTCCACCAATAAAACGTAATAATCTCTCAAATATCCGATATCGGTTTGACCGTATGAGAAAGATTAGGTCGATAAATAGGGAGTAAGAGTAATGTTTTTAAATACAGTGCACGAGACAAGTAATGAGCATAATATTTTTATTTACTGCACAGCAAGAACAGAAGTGCACAAGATTTTATACGCACGATATTAAACAAATTAATTAGGACTACCCAATAGTTATCTGGTTACCATACTTCCTCTAATCTTCTTGGCATGCCACGAGCTAAATTAACAAAATTTTCGTTTCGATTTCATCCAATCTTTTCTGTCAAGAAAAATCTGTAGTAACTGCTTTTTTTTAATGCTACTAAACTTTTTCTACACAATTCCTCAAGATTGCTAATAAATTTCAATTGGGTTAATATCTGGGCTATTAGACGGCTAAATTGGGCACCGCTGTATTATTATTATGATTCGGATCTTGATTATATTAAATACTTGACTCGCTACTTTGGTGTAGAATTAGGCAATTACTATACTGACTGAACCATGTCAATGTCATGCTTCGTTAACGAAGGCGATGACGTATTAGTATTAGTATATCCTATACTCCTGCGTAACTCCGACGGTACCACAAGTTTCAGGATCGGTGCCACCTTATTAAGTCACCTTATTCATACCCATGCACCCACATGACACATCCCCTACAATAAATTAAAACATGCAAATGACAATATTTTTGTACGATCTTGAAGCTAAAGTGATCGTACCTTTTTGAAAAAAAAAAATTTTTTTTTAAATAACGATAGATTTTTACACAATAGCTGTAGCTCGATAGGGTGATAGTGTAATATAAAAATACGTAATTATACATGTGTAGCCCACTTCATCAAGCTACCGCTATATAACAAAAATATATCGTTATTTTTTTCTCTCCCCAAAAGCACGAGCACTCGGCTTCAAAATCGTACACAAACTATTGTCATTTGCATACCATATATGGACAGGAGAGATTTTTTAAAAAAAAGACTCCTTATATGTTTACTAGTAAAGTTTGGTGAATTCGATAATTATTGTAGAGATGTGTATGTTTGGAAAAAAGTGGCAGCCGTCCGCGCTATCCATAATAAGAAAAACTGGCAGCTCGATTAATTATAAAGAAGCGCTACTTTATTTATTAGTATCTAATAAACGGTAGTTCCTTATATTGTATTCTGAAATACACTATTAACAAATAGTTCTCTGGTACAGTCAACCGATGTGGCTGTCCTCTCCCTTTTTTATCGGTTTTTCGCGAAAAACGATATTGATATAAAATAGTCGGTTTTTGGGAAATGATTGGCCAATGAGATATTGATGTGAACATGTACTGTACAACGGTAATTCGTACTACCTTATAATATCGGTTTGGCTCAAATATGTGTGCATTGTGATCTTCCATAGCTATCGCCAAAAAATATCGGTTTATCGGATTTGCGAAATCTGTATATTGTTATTATCGGTTTTAAGAGAAATCTATCATAAATGTACGAGAATTGAAAAAAGTATCGGCTTGCGAGTTATCGGTTTTCCGAGGCTTGACTGTATATAGTTGCAAAACTAATCCTTATATCGGTAGCTACTTGTGCCGCGAGTATTCCAGTGGTATTACGATATTTATTTGCTTAAGTAGAAACGCGTTTGATATAATTACAATCACACCCCAACATATAGGCTTCCGAATCGGAAGGAAATCGTTGATTTACTCGAGGGCAGATAATTAATGTCTACCGATCACCACAAGGTCGTGAGTAATAAAGCCTGGCTTAAAGATCACTAACTGTCGCTATATTTAATTAAAAGTAGAAGAAGCCACAGCTCCGTTCGAACATAGTTAAATTCCAAGAACCAGCGATCGTATACTAGCCTTGAGATTTAGCTTTTCAAACGAGGCCTTTAAATGACAATTATGACTTTAACGCAGGTTTTCAAAATATTCGCGATGCTAGATTGGTCTTGTATACGTTATCCCTAGATTATTATTTAACTTTGAATATTACGTCTATTTCTTTACGGGATTAGTTTCGAAAGCCAATAGGAAGTTTCCACACTAAATGCGTTTGTAAAAATTAAATGATGATCTTAGTAAAGTTCCTACGAAATCGATGGCAAGCTTGACTCCATTTACCGTCGATACTAATGCGTTTTCACTTTTACCGACGATAGAGGTAGATTCACTAGGAACGAATGAAAGTAATTTAGTAATTAAAAAACTAGCACAAAAATTAATTTTTATTTATAAAAAAAAAGATCATAGTTCAGTCAGACTTCTTACAATCATATGTCAGTGGTTGTGCTCTTCGACTATTATTTATTATATTAATTATATTCATACCTGTGCTATTGTCTTAATTGTGCATGAAAAACCCGACTAAAGTCTCACTTTGCAACAAACTCAAGTCTTAATTGAATATTTGCATTGATATGGTCACTCGATTATTAAATATAAAGTAAAGAACTCATAATGAATGAAACAAAAGTATTTATTATGTTGATTTATGATATTTGTATTCCTATAATATTTGTCTGTTATATTAAGCATGTACATACCAGAAGAGTTAAATGTTGATCGTCGAAGAGAGTTAAAAAACTTTGTGCATAATCTTACAAATATTGTCGGTTAGTTGCAAACGAGATCTTTTTTTTTTGTTGCTGTCGAAAGCATAACACGTTTAGGAAGCAAAGAGTTGAGTTACGATAATGTATCAAAATTGTAATCGCATGATTATTAATGGGAAAAACACAAAATTTAAGTCACATGGAAGGAGTTGATTTACTACAATTAGTAAAGTGACTCTACTATTAAAAATTCCGTTCCGGAAAATTGTGATCATAAGGGGGATGTCTGTAGTAGGGTCTGACTATATCGTTATGTTGCAAAACAAATCATAAGGCATATTATAACGCTCAAATTATCCACACCCTCTTCCTCTCTTACACATACTGTTCCAATCTTACTCTCTATCTCATTGTATTGTTCACTTACTCTCCTCGCATACACACAATCAATAATGGTTTATGAAAGAAAATAAATAAATAAATAAATAAATAAATAAATAAATAAATAAATAAATAAATAAAAGCTCTTCGAACGCGTATATGTTATGCAAGATAAATTACTTTGTTTGCCGAATTTTTTATTATTATGTTTTTAACGCAAACACTAACGGTGGTTTTTAAACTGTCAACCTTTGACCCTAATTTTTTGCTGCCAGATTCGATCACAAAATATCTCGATCAAGTTTGAATGCACAGCACAAGACCTTTAGTGCCTGTCAACAGTTTAGTATTAAAAATTTATGACATTTGTCAGAACAATGTAGGAAAAATATGCCCGAAAACTAGTGCGGTTTACAGTCAAAGAATAGAAGTCTATTTCTGATAAATGTTAATCAATTTAGTGGAATTGATAAAATAAAACATAGGCTAATTATGAGAAGTGTATGTGAAAGAATAGTCCATTAAATAAACTCTGCCATTCATTGCTGCAACTATTATAGCACATCAATCAATAGTTTGCCTTCTTCTTTTTTCGTATACTTGTGACGCGTTAAAAATTTCTATGTTGTGATTCTGAATGAATAAAGCCATAAATTAGTAACCCGCAAACGCATTTAAAATTTTGAGCTTATTCACTAAAACCAACTTTCGAAAACGAATGACTGTGTATGGAGCCCTCGTATAATACTAAACATATCACAAAGTTGGTTTTTTTTTTGCCGGTTACAGATTAACTGCTTCTCAACGTTTTCTTCGTTTTGTGGAAATGTTTCATGTCGATTACCTTGTACTTTTATAGCAAATGTCAAATTTTAGTTTTAAAAGGTTCAGCGAATGCCGGAAAGTAGGCCAAGAATGTTTACTATAGCTTCACGACATATGTAAATTTTCATGCTTTTTAATAATATTATTATTAAAATTGGCAAAGCGCTTTTATATGGCGATGCAGCTTATGTACTGTACAACGTATACACTTAAAAGTTTATTATGTTATAAAAATTATAAAAATTGATGGAATGTGTATTAAAATATACGTAACAATCACAAGCAGATACCGTACCGTACAAAAGTAACGAGAATTACTAATTAACTGATAGTTCGATAACTAACAGTTTGTGTAAGCATTATTCAATATATTTTGCGTACCCTTCCCGATCTTCCTAGCAAGTTTACGTATTTCACATTTCACGGTTAATTCATAGAATCCTGTCTTTCTTATTCAAATCAAAACAAGTTCTTGGATGAAGAACATGTCAATAAAATCTCGCTTCTGTGGCGAGAAATCATATTTCACGTCTGACTAGGCGCATTCAAACATATTGCCCTGAAAGTTGTTAGACTTTACGCACGTACAATTCCTTATCTAAGGAAAAGTTGGGACAGTTCAACGTGGTCTTTATTTAGGTGCACATGTGGTGACCACTGATTTTCTGTGCCGCTACTATCTAATAAGACTTATCTGACACCTTACGGTGCCAGTACATATTTACTTGTAGTAAATCTATCTACTGTATATTCTAAGGATTACACCATTTTGATACGGACTGATGTCTTATAACGACTACCTGTCCTTTGCCATTTTCAACCATTATTAAGGACTAGCCCATATGATTTTTGGATATAAGGATCGGATCGACTGCTGTTGACCCGATACGAATCGCGACAATCTTGTCGCACAGAAAGCTGACATATTCATGGATTATTTCAATGCTACATTAGGGGTCGGGGGCGCAATATAGCGAGATACTAATACTTGGCCTTATTAGCCATAAACTGTAATCCTTACAGCCTTCGCAGGGAAGCTTCAACTTGGCCGACCGAGATTACTAATCTCAACAATGTCGAGTCAGCTGCGCCTGGGCTACAATGCTACGCCTCATCGGTAACTTTCGACCAATCGAATAATTCATAGTAAAATAGTAAAAACTCCATTAGTCAGGATTGGCGCAGAGATGTAATTTCCTATTGGGGATTTTCATTTGTTCCTAAACAGTGAATACAAGTATCAACATTATCAACGGTCGTCTCCAGCAGCTTCATCAATTAATACTGTAAAACCATCTCAAATACAGGGCTAGTGGATATTATTAGCTGCCCGCTTACGATGGTGGAATATGCCGTTTATTTATCCTTCATTTTGATTCGGATGAACAACCAATCAGATGTTTTTGTCAAACAGGGCCGGATTTTACATTTAGGAAATATGGAATGTAACGTAACAATATCACAAAACATTCGATATTATGTAATGGCTAAATTGATGCAACTGGGCTGATCGGAAATCGTATCGCATTTCTGGTTTCCAACAATAGTAATTAATAAATAACAGACAAAAGAGATTATCGGTAGTGAGAATTTTCTGACCGAGTTCGGAGTGCACGTGAGCAATAAGCATATCAGCCCCGCGGGACACGTCTCTTTGCTATTTGCGTGTTCGAAACCTAGTCATAGCGAGTGAGAATAAAATGGTAGGGAAAGAAATGTATTGTTATTATTATTATTAAGCAAAGAAATCAATCCCTGCTTTTGTCGAAAACTCACTTCCTTGTTCAGCTGACTTGTTCGTATGACAACGCTTTTGGCGTCACTGTCGAACATGATCGCCCGATATGGTCGAGTCGGGCGTAGTTTGCAGTTGCCAAATCAAACTTTTCCTTTACAATTAAGACTGTGTCCTGCGAAATATTTAATTGACTAAAATTTGTAATTTTTCAAACTATATAAAGCTTGACACTAGATACAAACTTCATCATTCGTTGATGGTAATTGCGTCGTCGAAAACATCGGCACATACCCTAAATTTATTAGTATCCGTGACCTTGTACATTCCGTCAGATTATCTCAGTCGGAGGTTCGGGCCGAGCATCTAGCACACAGCCCGTATGACAAAAACTAAAAACAACCAGCCTACCCACAACCCCCATTCCCTCAAACGGCATTGGGAATCGACGCAAAAGAATTATTTCTTGTGTACTCTTTCCCATTCCCAACTTGAAGAGACTTGCATTTTACAATACTAATAAATATTTCGGTGAAATACCCGATATCCGTCCAGGACTAAGTCGGAAAGAGGATAGATACTCTTGTCCTATATATCATATATACGTTATATATATGTATGGGGCTGGGCTGGAACATATCACGACGACCCAAAAGTATTATTATCTCTGCAAAAAAGACCAACGTCGCCCAGTAGTAATAACTAAGATAGGATATATACGATACAATAGTGCATAATACCATACCTTGTATCATTTCACATTACATACCCGTTATACAACCTCCGTATCAATAAGCGTGTTCGGGGACCCTAACAACTCACAATGCGAGGCGAATGTATCCTCCGACCTACAATATCCGGTGTAGTCAATGACCTCCAGATCATAAAACTCCTCGAGCTCCTAAAAACAAAAACAACCGAATCTCCATACTCCCTTGCCAAATGCCTCTGTACCATAAAGGCAGTCTTCTCTAAACCATATTTTCCAACAACTGTCTTTGGGAAACGCAAGACAGTTTCATTCGACTTTTCTGGAATGTCATATATAGTAGAATTCACTGCGTGTGCTGAAGCGCACTCGCAAGACATAAGATGCATGGATGTGGATAACCCGCATAGTAACCATATCGGAATCTCCCAGCCGATTATCATGGGCAATAGTAATAATAACGGCAGTAGTAGCAGTAATAATAATGCTAATATTATCAGTACACAACCGCCTCAATTCCTAAAACCCTCGATCGATGATATATTAGGAGATGATCAAATGGTACGGTTTGTGACAATACTCAAGGATAAAGTTCGGGAATCCCCGATTACAATGGCGACTTTGCTCGCCTGCATCAAGTCAGTCTTGGAGTCATCCGGCATCAAAGAGCGGCTCTTTCCAAACAGGATAAGATTTAATCATGGCGATGATACCCCTTTTCGAGAATACGTCGTCGAATTCAACTCTTCGTGTGATCGAACGTTTTCCGAGCACGAAACCAATGGAAATATGGTTGGAATTGTGTCAATGACGGGTGCAATGGATCATTATCGTGGTCACGACGACGACGATGAAGATACGGACGAATTAGAAAAGGACGAAATTCTAGAAGCACAGCAGCATCAGCAACAACTCCATCTCCAGCAACAACACCAGCAACATGCGGGTACGCAGGATGTATGGCATGTCAATGTAGGGAATTTGTCGAATATAAAGAGAAAGAGAGGAAGCGATGTTCATGAAGAAGAGGATAATTTCGTACATCACAACATGCCCATGAAAAGGCGGGCTGCGGATAAGCATAAAGCACCGCCTTTGAGTAAGTATGTTTCCGTTTGCGGTTTGGAAAATGGCCATGTGTTTGACAAATTTATTTACACGTTAAAAAACTTGCATCGTTTATTATATTTAATCCCAATTTCGTTTCGTTTGATAATCATTATCCTGGACCTATCTTGTCTGTTTTCACATTTTCAATAATCCCCCTTTTTTTGTTGATCTCTTTCACAGGTTGCGAAGCAGTAAAACGTCTATTCAGCTCAATATCCAAACAAACGCTTCTTCAGCGTCTCGAAGAATCAAAAGCCCTCATTTCCTCCATCACCGAGTCTTACTTCAACATCAGACAGTCATCCAATGCTAAATCGCCTACCTCCTCTTCACGTCTAAACCTTCTTTGCCACCTTTTGCAATCACCGCCAACATCCCGCATAGATGGAATTTCATCAAAAGTGTTCTCGAATTTAGAATTATATAAACTATTTACAACTTACAATGCATACAAGGAAGATTTGGCTAAACTTGCGCAGACGGAAGCACCGAGTCCGGCAAAAAAGGTTCAAGAATTCACACAAACTTCAACAGAAGCGTCAGTAAAATTTCCCACATATTCCAGCTTTATCGATCCAACAGTAACACTTCACATCAAAGAACAAACTGGCGGGCGAGAAGTAGGCAAACATCGTCTCAATTGCGCGTGGCGTCTATCTATTCTTTGTGAACTTCTTGGCAAGGGTGTCTTACTTATGACCAAAGAACTTTCCGGTGCAAAGCTCGAGCGTATTCTTGTCGAAGAGTTTTCAAAGTTAACCGACTTTCTGAAAAATCCCGACAACCATGACTGGGTAGCACAGGTGAAGGAAAAGTTGGATCTCCCTGGGTTTGATGACGTATACGCGCCATTGGCAGAGGCGGATATTGTATATGCGCCAATTGAATCTGTTGATATTTCCGATACGACTACTGCCGTAAATGATAAAGAAGATGTTAGAAATAACACGATCATGGACACTTCTGAGAGTGTTTCTAGTGTATCTCCAGTACCTCAGAGACAGCAGCAGCTACCATTGGCTCTGGAGCCAGATGAAGAGAGGACGGAGATTCCAGATGTGATTAAAACAGAACCGCTGGCGAACGTCAATGCAGCATCCGTTACTAGTGTAAACATATCAACGTCTAACGCGACGCCCCTCACTTGGGTCAAACAAAATAATATCGCAGGGACTTATTGATGACAAGAAGAACTATTATATTCGAGATTACAGATATGAATGTTGTATTGTATCTGGTTGATTTTATAGTAGAAAGTAGAGTAATGCTATTTGTGGAAGGAATAAGGAGAACTCGGGGGGGGGGGGGAAAAAGAAGGGACGTGTTGGTTGATGGGTAGGCGTTGACATGAGATACTGGATATTTACAACATATCAGAGTTGATTATAACAGATATAAAATTCATTACAGATGATCTAAAATTTTTTACCCAATTTTTTATATTAAAAAAATCCTTTATAATTGTACAGACAAAAAATTTTTTCTTAGCCTTTTCCCCTTTTCTTTTTCTTTTTTTTTTTTTTTTGGAAAAATTTCTTTATTAAAAATGTTATTTTTAATTTTTCGTTAAGCCTCGAAAGACCTACCGATCCCTTGGGTCTCTCTCTCTCCCCTATTTTGTATATAATTTTCTGCTTATGCTTATCCTCCAATTTTGATTCTGAATGAGAATAGTGAAAAATTGCAGAGGAATATAATAAACTTAATTTCGAGCGGTAAATTAGCGCAATAATGCGAGTGGAAAGGTGATCGCTTGACATTTATTCATGCCAGGTTAATACTCTTGTTACAATGGCGGGCGCCGTACACCAATGATGGTTATTTACACTCGGTATATACCCTTGCTATCCTATCCTATTGACGTGATCTATTCTCTGGTCATTGGGTTATCATCGTTTTGACCTAACTCGGTCTCGTAGTCTCGAGTGGCTCAGCTCACTCAAACCTCTTCTATCCCTATCCCTATCCCTATCCCTATCCCTATCCCTGTCTCTCTCTCTATCTCTGTCGCCGTCTCGTCTATTTTTATCTCTTCTATCTCTGCCTCGATCCCAGTAATTTTTCTGATCCCGTCGTCCATCTTCTCCATCGTTAGCATCTAATCTCGCACGTTTCTTGTCTGTATTTGGCAATAATTGTTAATAAATCTCTTATATTTGTCGAGACGATATCATTCTTTTCCGTCAGTTACATCGTTACTTACTTTTATTGTCATCGTCAGCTGGCAATGAATGCTTTATAAATCTACTTGCTGCGCCTCTGTTGAGGGAGAGTGTTGGTTTGGGAGGATTGATTGTGTTTTCAACAAGCTTAGAGTAACGCTCTATTCTTTTCTATGCAATAAAAGGGATAGCACCAACGCATTAATAAGACTTTTGTGTCATCGCTTCAACCGCTTATTTCTTATTACCAGTTGTTCAACGACTGGATGTGATTTTGGGTCGACTGCATTCGTTTGCAAGTACACTATAATGTTTAGACGGGCAGTAAGTGATCTAGAAGCGTGAGAATGTGAAATACAGTAATCACATTAAAAATGGTCTTATGCCGATATTCAGATCTCTCATAGGGCTGTGCTGTAACTTTATATTTCTTACAAGATATTAAGTTATTTATCGAGTATGCAACTAACAATTGTACTCGTGCTCGCTCTATGACATCGAGTTTAGCTGCTATTTCTTCTATAGGGGTATTCAGTAAGGGTTCTAATATTTCAGTAAAACTATCCAAAGACTGTTCATAGCCCTGGACGTAGTCTTGGAGATCCATGTCGTCTCTTGGCATTTTTAAAGCGGTGTAAATTTGGCTGTGTTTCTTTATATCTATAATGAAACGGAATGCAGCGGTAAAGTTGAACGATTTACCGTTGATTGCATGTGATTCGTCCGACTGCTGTATTCTTATATATTGGGTGTAATTGTCATCAAAATGCTCCGTGAGCCCGAATTGTGAGTACCTTTTTTTTTCCTCCCTATTACTATTAATGTGTGATATGGTAGTAGAGTGGGTAAATTGGGCAATCATTAATAAACAATCATCAATAAGATTACTAAAATAATTAAAATTATGAATGATAATAAGTAAACAGCAATAATTCATAATCATATATACATTGGGCATAATATTAAAGAACCAATGTCTCAATCTGTAAGGCCAACTGGACAGAAGGATCCGAGTAAGCCTCGTGCAAAATACATGATATGGCGTAAACGTTCTGATAACATGCCCATTGGCCAACTGTGTAATAAACCGTTGTGTTGGATGAAGGGAGGGGCAAACATTGATATATACATTTACTTTTAAGAGTCGGCAAGCGACCATTTTAGAGCGCAGTTATCGGCGGCATTGTTTTCTCGTCTCACCCAAGTATCTACGGCAATCACCCATTGTGAATCCAGTCTACAAGATGTTCAGAAAACAATAGAGGTAAACAATTGAATGATTAAGGGGTGGGGCTACGATAAAGGGAAATAGAAAAAACGCTAGCCAAAGAGAAAAGGCATAGCATAGATGGATAATGTTTCAAGCCATATTACATCCATGACCATTCATTCGCATTCACAATTCTATGGCCATTCCCATTATTTGCATAGGAATCTCGTTCTAACGTTAAATCGACGACAAGGACGTTGCTGGCTCTGCAATCGGAGGCAATGAAGATAGATGGTATCACTATACCCGGAACAAGAAACTTTGACAAATGGCCGACTGCGGTATACACTCCGACAGACGCCAGCAGAAAAGAACAATAAAACGGTGCTCTCTTTTTTACATTGGCACTGACTGTTGTCTCAAATTGGGAGTGATTATTAATAATTAGTAATATGGGCACTCTTATTCAATTAACGTTTCTGAGGGAATGTGGATGTTGGGTTAACACCATTGTATTACTGCCAATGAGCGCACGATGCTGATCAGCACTACCAATGTCGCGTTCAATTGACAAACAAGAGAATTAGGAGAAAAGGAATGGAATATGAATAAATAGAGAATGAATGGTTAATGAATGGATGGAATTACGAATGGGAAAGAGCCGAAATAGCAAAGCGTTTGTGACTACTTTTATTATCCGATAGTCAACATCTGTTTTCATCCAATCACATTCTCATAGCATCATGGTAATACTGAGACAACTATATAACACAATGAATCTTTGCCGCATTCTATAAGCGATAGAATACATAAAATCCCATATCACTTTCACATTCATTGCATTACATATTCACACCCATCATTGCATATATTTATCATATCCAATCTACACACAATAATCCCGGTCCCCCCTCCCTGTCACATCAATTCTAATCTACAATTCACCCCTCTATATATTCCCATCACAAACATTTCACCTCCCATACTATATCATCAGACGTTTCTTGTCCATCCCCCTCCCCTACTGCCTCAAATATTGAAACTTGGCATCAATACCACATAAATACATTACGCCAATCTCTGAGAATATAAAGACCGGTTCTTCACTATTCACAACTCATATTTCAAGGCTTAGCAGGCAGAGACGAAAAAGTGAAGAACGACAAGTAGATAAAATATACCCTTAAAAGAATACCAAAAAAACACATATACTCGACAACGGGGACTTGCAATTAGAATATCCCCAGTATATTATAAGAGCATTAAGAAAAGGTGAACAGTAGCCCACTCATTCCACAAGTTTTCAAGACACGCCCCAGTAAGTGAGCCAAAACAGCTATCCCATGTGGTCAGTTCAAGCTCGAAAGTAAAGAGCATACACGTAATAACCGAACAAATCGTCAACTTGTATTAACATGACAGAACTATCGCTTTATATTAACAACATATTCGGCGGCCGGCAGAAGAACAAAAGAGCGCTGGAAGTGGAACAAGCAAGAGTAGGAGTAATCTAAGAAGTTGGCCGTCCCTGGTAACGTTGCTTGAGTAATATTATCTTGACTTTTGTATTGACTCATTATTGTTATCAAAAGACAGACATTGCCTTGTTGCGAGCTGACTTACTACACTTTCTATATGCTGCCTACAACTATGCTTCTCCATTCTCATTCTTCTCTATTCTCCAATCAACCCCAGTTCAAATGCCAAATCAATACCCAGACTTTAACGAAATGGATGGAATAGTCTCTAGCGAAGAAGAATGCTCTTATCCTATCGAAAGTGACTCTTTAAGTACAGAAGATGAGGACGAAGAAATGGAAGACTGTGCATCTGATGATGACATTGGTACGGTGAATGAACAGAGAGATAATAACAGTTTACAAAGGCATTACATTATGTCGCAATCTGCGTATACGACGCAACAGGAGAGAGAGCAGGCTTTGGGAATACAGCGGTATATGCATTCACAAGAAGGGCAATCGCAATCGCAACAGCAACGTCAACAGCGACATCAATCGCTTCAGCAATGTGTAATGCAACAGCAGCAGCAGCAGCAACAACAACAACAACAACAACAACAGCAGCAGCAACAACAACGCCAACACCAACACCAACACCAACAACACCAACAACACCAACACCAACATCAACAACAACACCAACAACAACAGCGGCAACAACAACAGCAGCATCATACACAGCAACAGGAACACGAGCAACAGCAACAGCAACATGGACAGCATCACATTATGCTACGGCAGCAGCAACACGCTATGATGCGTCAGTTGCAACAGCAGCAGCAGCAGCAGCAACAGCAACAACAACAACAACAGCAGCAGCAGCAGCAGCAGCAACAACAACAACAACAACAACAACAACAACAACAACAACAACAACAACAACAACAACAACAACAACAACAACAACATCGACAACAGCAAACTCAGCAGCAGCAACCGCAACAACGGACGCAACAACGACCGCAACAGCTGCCTTCTTTCTTCGCAGCTCCATCATTCGGCAACAGAGGAACATACGCTCAAAGAGATCACACGCCGCTTCCATCATTAAGCGGTACATTTTGGCAAACCCGTACGCTACCATTTGATCCACATCCATATTCCGGAATCAATCCAACCTCGACATCGCTGCCACAACACTCATCCATTTCTTCTTCTATAACTCAACCTGTATCATCTACAACTACTCCTAGCTCCATAACCTCTTCAGACCCCCAAAAACATTCTTCACTTAGATTCTCCCACTCATCGTCGTCCTCCTCAGATGTGGACGACAATGATTCTCACTCCCCATCTTCTTCGTCGTCTTCTTCATATGACAGTTCGAGAAAGAGGGCCCGGACGAGGTCAAGTGAGTGGACACAGGGGATTCAACATCCACAAATGGCTGGATATTCTACAAATGTCAATGGAGCTGTTAACAGTAACATGTTGGATGGGAGTGTTCGAATGAATGACATAAGTAATTGTGTTGGCGGAAGTGCCAATAATATGAATGGAAGTGCAAATTTTAGTGTTGGCGTTAATGGCTCCACAGGTATGCGAACAATTCCTTCGCCAATAGGATATGTTGGACAACAGACTAATGGAAGCTACATGCGCCCATATTTTGATCTGTACAATTTACCAGAGTCACCTATTTCGACCTTTCCTACAGTATATGGATCTCGTATGGAACACTATGCTAGCCAAAATACAGCACTCAGACCTATAACGACCTCCACTTCCACTTCCTCCACCACAACCACCACTCCGCCACCGCATCCTTCGACGACGGTGCAAGCAAACGGGCGACATTCTGACTCGTTTCAGCGACCGCACACATCAAATCAACCATTTCTACCCGCAATTATATCCTCTTCTTCGTCTTCGTCGTATCGTCCGTCTCCATTACCTAGACCATTTTCCACGACCACTAGAAGATCATATATTAACAATGTTGCCCATCAAGTCGATAATTCGATTCCAAGGCATATAGACACGGAACAGTCTAGAGGATATAGTAGTCATTTTGCACCAGCAAGTAATGGGATAAACGTGCCCGTAACTCCGAATTCATTGGATAGAACAAGTGAGAGATGGAACCCACGAAGGAACAATACTCATATGAACAATAATAATGTTATTATGAATAACAATGATAATAACACGCTTCAACCAGATAGTACACATTCTTCGCCCATGACAACGTCACAACCATCCAATCCCTCTACAGTTTCTACTTCAGCCAACATTATTACCTCTACTCCTCCATCCAACACCACACCTTCCTCTTCATCCGCAACAACGTACAATCCAACACCACACAGATTCTCTTCACCGCCTCTACTTTCTCCACGTAACCCTTCATCACATCAACTTCCGCGAGTGTCCAATTATCGTCAAGGATCCAATATGTCTAGGGTAACACCTCCGTCAACCCAACGACGACCTCGAGTTTCGACTACAAGGCTATCGTTTGCACCGCCCCTGCACAACAATGGTCACAGTAACACTTCTCTTCGAACGCCAGCACATTATGAATCAGATGATGATGAGGAAGACTATGGGATGGCCATAGATCACGATGGGGATGATGTTGGATTTAGCGCTATAAGGCACAGAAACTTGAGAAGGATGAGTGGAGTTAGTGGAAGTGGAATCAGTAGTATAAGTCGTGGTACTAATGGTGTGAATGGTCGAAATGATAACAATATTATGTCTGGAATGAACAATAGCATTCCTGGAGTAAATCAAATACCCATTACTGCATTTCCAAGTTCTACTCAGACGATACCGACATCGTCAGCAAATGGACCCGATAATATATCCACGCCTAATGCACCCACATCAGCCAGACCCACACCAACCAGTCCCACACCAGCATCATCATCGCCATCATCGCCATCGCCTCCGCCACCACCTCCATCTTCAGCCGCACCTGACAATCCTTGGATGCCATTACAATCTCGTCATTTAGAACTCTTTACGTACAGACGCCTAAACCCAGTCTCACCGTTTCGAGCGGCCATGACAGCCGGTGGCAGTAGATCGAACTCGACGTCGGATAGAAGTCAAGTGATTCCATTATCAGCCAGACTTGCCCAGACTATCCGATCACGTCGTGAGGCAAACGCTGGGTCAGGATCGGGAACAGGAACGAGAGATAGAAACGTTGGTTCGGGAAATGTACAACCATCGGTCATGTTCCCTCCTCATGTTTCCACATCGTCATCCACTTCCGGTCCTCGACTACCGCTCCATCACCATCATCATGGACACCGGCGCGACCCATCTAATCAATCGACCTCATCTGCTCAAACGTCGTCTTCAACTCCATCATATTTACGTTTCTCTCCTCGGTCGTTTGACCTCTATGATAGGGAAGATCGTGATAATGATACGCCTCGTAGGAGTTTTGCACGCAGTCAGAATAGATCTAACAGAGGAAATTCGGGTACCTATCATCATCATCATCACCATCATTTTATTCCTCAGTTGCCATTCATTGGGAATTTCTTTAATGATTTGGATTTAGATGAGATTTTGGAACTATTGCCGGATGTTTTGTAAGTAAAATGGGAGAAGATATGCGAAATGGAGAGTGGGAAAAAGAATGATGCGAGGATAAAGAGAAGTGTATATTGCGTGTTTTATGCTAATTCTTTTTCCTTTATTTAATTTGTGATTTAGTGGTTCTGGGATAGCAGCGAATCCTGGTAATTACCTGGTAAGTATCTAATTAATGGGCACTCAAATACTCGTTCTCTCAACTATTTTGAATGGTTAAGACCAACTGACGTCTCTTATCAACGTGTTCTTCTGCAGGATGATGACGACTTTGATAGCAGTTATGAAAGTCTATTGTCTCTGTGCGAACGAAACGGAGATGTGAAACCAAAAGGCGTTCCTGAGAGTCTCATACAGAGCTTACCTACAAAATCATATATTTTGTCAAAAGACAAGAGCAATGGCGAACGGTAAGTAGAAGGGATAGTTGCGATTTCGTTTAATATTTTCACTTTACTGATACGTGATAATGACATAACTCTTTTGCAGTTGTACAATCTGCCTGAGTGAATATGAGACAAGCGAACGCCTACGGGATCTTCCATGCGCGCATGACTTTCACATAGATTGTATTGATGCATGGTTGAAGAACTCTGATAAATGCCCTATTTGTCGTCGTAGTGTAATTGATGGTGGTGATTAAAATGGTGTATGCAGTAATGGGTAATGGTGGATGGTTGCATTTTGGTGATTAGAAGTTAATGGTCGTGGAGTGGGAGTAGTTGTCGATATTTTGAGGGAGAGATTGGCCAAGTAACTTTTGTGATTTGAACTAGCTAATATTTGGAAAGGACTGGGTGTAGTGATTGATATTTTACAAATAGTTATTTACATTGAATGCGGATTGTAAGGTCCGTGTTTATGTTTGTCTTTTTTTTTTTTTAACCTTGTTTATTTTGTATAGAACTTTAAAACAGCCTTTATATATCCTCTTTTCTTGATTGACGGGAATTGGAATATAAACCAAAAAAGAAAAACGCGTTGACATTATTCATCATTTCCTTGGATCTATTATTGGTTCTATGAATCCTTTATATGAAAAGGACATGGGACTCGAATAATTTGACAATTGTAATAAACATCTGTTCATAATGGAACAATTATTAGTATTTGTTTTGTATATATTTAATACAAGGCGAATGCCACTGTTTATAGTGAATTATTGTTATTCCATTCCAATATTTCTACTACTGCTGCTACTGTTATTATTATCAATAATGCAAATGATATACTGTATCTTTGCACTTTTTTATTTTCACTTTGATACAACGACATATCGAACCAAACATTGGCAATCTATTTCGGGTTTCAATATTATCAATAAAAAACTTTCTGACACCCACTTGATAACATAATGGTCAATGAACCAAATGAACACTAATAATTGCAAAAATGTATGAATATGCATTGCAAAATGGGCGTTACAAGAGCAGATCATACAACAATGGGGCTTAAGACATTGTCGATATTGTCCTGATTGGATGAGCAAGATGGCTCGATTTTTTTTTTTTTGAACGTGCTGTTCATATGGTAAGACTTGAGCTTATTTTCATAGAATGAGTATATATCGATAAAAGTTCTATATAAAAAAATACAAAACTATAGTTCTTTCCCCTCCCCCTCTTCTTTGTTAGCTGTCCTACAAAATTTGAGTATGCGCCCGAGGTTTCGCTAATTCAAAATATAATCATGTGGGTGGTACATCCAATCTTTGATATGCTTTGTGTTTTAAGAAGTTCACTTATCGTCCATAGAAGGTCCCCCAAAAACCTTTTGAACATTCATCCTTAAAATGTGGGACGAGACGAGTATGCACAATACGCCCCTATTATTGTATTAAAAATGTGTGTCAAAGAATTCTCAAGGATTGTAAGGCTTTGTATTTGTGTCTAGTTTGCATAAACCTTGATGATAAACCGGATGACGTCTTAACAAAACGACGAATTGCGACTGGTCGTTAATGAATGTTACATTTGGGATTGTGTACCCTCATTATTATTATTGTTATTTGCCCAAGTTGGATAGAGTCAAAAGAAAGAGCTTTGCTTTTTCACTTTCTTAGCACAAATACGTCAGTGTTTCAAAATGATGCCGTCTTTAGCCAAATCCTTCTTACTTCGTTTCCCCAAAATTTATAATTATTGTTATTGTTATGCCGAATTTTAACCTTCACGTGACAGTACTGTTTAAAATAAACACAGTAACAGGATTTTCAATAAGAGTTGTAACCAAAATTCGAACAAAGGGGGTCACACGCTTAATATAAATTATTATTATATTAATTTAGAGATGCTGCAACAAGCCACTGTGTATTCTCAGGGGGCATTAATCATCAATGATTTTTAAGCAAAGTAAAAGAAAGAAAACAAGGTCGCAAGTAATAAAAATATAATCAAGTAAAGCATGAAATAACTCATCGTTTTTTGGGAAGAAACTTGTTCTTGTTCTTGTTCTTGTTCTTGTTCATTTAATTGCTGAGTTAATTTCTTTCAACACACATGAATCGAATTGATGGTTTCAGTTTTATCCAACGTAAACATTGTTATAGTCCACCTTGCCAAACAGATATTCATTCGAATATAGAGAAATTTTGTTTATTTTAAAGTGATTACCTTCAAATAAATGATCACATGTGGCGGAAAACCAGTCTCTGGTCACTCTGGTGCAAATTTAGGGTTTACTGATTTTTTTTCGATACCATCATCGTAAAAGCAGCAACCGCCCTGCAATTTTTGGTATGATGCATACAGCATGCTCGATTTTCTCATATTGAATGCCTTGCTGAATAAATGTCATCATCACATAGACTTATGGAGACAGCATTACTTAATTAGATCACAATGCTCATTTTTTGGTTTGCGCATTCGCTCATAAATATGTGAATCTATAACATTTAAAGATTTATTTTTTTTCTACGGTCTGTCATTACTAAATATGTATGCGCTAAATTATCTATGCAAGGTTTATAACTATAACAAAATTGAAAGAAAAAAATCAATGAGAGTTTTCTAACTTGTGTTGGATAACACATCGGCATCTACGATATATTTAATGTTCAACCATCAATTGAAACTGGAGGGTGAATAGATTTTATCCAATCAGTATGGCGAGATAAAAAATTTACAGTCTTGTCGCTTGCAAATTCAATTATTAGGTGCTTCTTTTGGTAATTCTGCGTAAATAGTTTCTATGTTAAAAATGACGAAAGAGACGAATAAGAGTATAGCAATTAACGCGTTTTTTTTAAACTCTCACACAATTCTCTTTTTACCATACATATGCTCAACAATTTAATGTACCGGATCAGTTTCTATAAACCAACGCTCCAAATCAAAGACACCTCAAAAGGTAAAATCATTGGGTATGCTGCTTCTTGTATTTATGTGCCGTTATTTAGCCATTAATTGTGCATGTCTTTGAATTCGGCGCTAAAAAAAGAGTATGTGGAGTTTGAAAATAACAACAAGTCTCAAGATTAGAAATACAGAATAGTACAATCGATAAAGCGTAGGTGTGAGTTAGTTATTGAAAGTGATGGAGAAAGGTAGCATATTAAAATTTTGTTAATAAATCTACTGTATTTTAGCCAATAATTTCTTTACACCCTGAATGTGCAGCAAATATACGTGAGCTGGTTTACTCTCTCACAGACATTAACTGAAGAAAGAATCGACTTAATAGGAGCTAATTCTCAAGCGTCGTATATCGTTGTTCTCTAGATACTGGCACAACAGTTGAAGGGTTAATAGTAAAGAGTCAAATATTGGATAATAATTCCCCTATTATTTCTGTTTTGGTCCGCCTCTACCTATAAAAAGAAACATTTTTTCGAGCTCAAAAAAATACTGACAGAAAATAACGGGAGATACAGTATGTCGTTGATCAAACTATTAAGATCTTGCGAAAGGGGATATTAACATTGTTATTTTAATGCTGACTCATGTCACCACAATCGCATTTATACCTCGATAAAATATATCAGTTATACGATTATTGCAGCCATGAATATGGCAAATCTCATAATACAAAACTTCATTACAAGCATGTTACAGAAAAGGTAATTTATGAACAATTCTTCAAGGATAGTTTAGGGCCTTCTCAACAACTTGATGCCCCGATCAAATTTGGAAATTGATGATAAAAATAGAAGTCATTTGGTGGGGGGCATCAAGGGGGCATCCCTAAATTGGAAATTGTTTATTTTTCATGAACATAATTCTTGCCAGACATCTCATGTGATGTGACGAGAGCAGTACATGGGATAGAACATGCTTTATTTGTTAACTTGAGTCAAGAAATATTTTTTTTTCATATTCATTGCAATGCCTAAGAAGCAAAAAAAACTTCGGATCCTTTATTATACAAACACTCACAATGTATGCGGGTTTGATTGATACAAATGATGATAATAATGTTGGAGTGGCTTCAATAATCGTTTAGTAAAATGTGCGACTGATCCTTGGCTAACACCAAACATTTGTTCTAGTTGGCGATATCCCAGAGGATTTGCTAATCTTGAATCACAATGCCAACTTGAATTTCAATAAGAAAGGGTGTGGATAAATAGTTAGGATGCTGCTGTAGGATACTAAGCAGTCGATTGAACGTAGATTGCGAAATGCGTTAAAACTATTATACTCGCTCTCGTCATTAAGATGGAAATATGTCTGTCCAATAAGCTATTGTTTTTGGCCAAAGTAAACGAGGTGTATGATTAATCATTGACGTCGGATCAAACAGAAATGCTAATTCTATATCAATTAATCTTGCATCAAATTCTTGTTTAGATTTTATTACTTCTGTTACTAAGTCTTTTCTCATACGGAGGGCGCTAATTATGCGCGTGTGCTTAATTGCAGTCACTTATGAAATTTATCACATTTATCTGCATAAAGATAAATATGGTATTACTTATTAGAGAGCTGATGCCCTACTTTGTACGACTTAATTGGATCGGGGCATCAAAGCTATTGAGAAGGCCCTTACACATTTCGAACCATTGATATGCGACATTTGTGTATCATCAATAATAGTAACCAGGTATTTTCGCCTATCGTTATCTATGAAACGACATTTTACAATTGCCCAAAGTTTGGGGCTAGTATTGCCTATTGACCAATGAATAACTTACAAGATCCAAGAAAAACATGTCGATCTACTATAATGAACAACAATGACTCAAGTTACGCAAACTTATATACTGTGAGAAAACAAAACACAACTATCGGCCCTCTTCCAAACAAAGATAACGACGGGAAAGTTCCTGCTGCTTTACAAACAAATAACCTAACTGTAATATAAATAAATTTATACTGATTATATATCTCGTATGGCTGTTGCCATTACGCAGTATTCATGTATATAATTCAAAATTTCGTTGACACCTTTGGTTAGCACGAGTCATACATAATGAGACAGAGTATATCAGAGATAACTGAGGAGGTACCTACAGTACATGTTTAACTGACTATTACATATTAAGAGTATATACTTAGTTGCGGCTATTACTATTTTATCAGCATAAGCAGCAAGTAGGCAACTGTACATCTTGCCTGCTGAGAAGCATGTTACTGTCGTTTTACCAACCAATATATTTTTTTTGTTAATAGACTTCTCAGAAAAAAGAGAGTCCTTCTCCGCTCTCATATGCGCAGGTAGTTTCTCATAAGATGGTAATGCGCCAAGGCTGTTATCGCCCGGGATTACTATAGAAGCTAGAACATCTTTGATTGTTTTTATAGATTGCTAAAAAAGATCAGGATTATTCGTTCTATCATACGCAAAATGAAAATGTAACGGTACGTCGGTCTGTTGTCACGTATCGAGAAGAAACATGTACAGCAATCATGTTAATCAACTTTTTATTTGTTGCATAGACACCCTTTAAGCAGGATAAATTTTCTCCTAGCCCTTATATAATCGCGCAATCTGTATCTTCTATTCTATTTATATTTTACTGAAATTAATCCGTTTTTATTCGTCACTGCAATCGATGCTGAATTTTTATGTAGACATCCTCGACAGGAAGAAATGAAGCTGTACAAAGCAAGGTATATTGAATGTTCTGGGATAATAATTTTTCCCGTTGTAGCAATTTGATTAACAACTCAATGTTCTATTATACCAGAGCAAGACTGAAGATAAAAGTCAGGTCAAAGATCGAGCTGATGATAATTGCTGTTTGTCTGTTTTTTTTTATTACGCAACACAAATTTCATTTTCCTTATTAACTAGCTCTGGAGAATCGTGAACCATCTTGTACGGTACAGCCATGGTTACATTGTATATGGAAATTGGATGTGTGAAAAGAAAGACAAAGAAGATGAGGATAAATGTGAATACGAATATCAAAGAGAATTCGAACATGGCGAACTCGAGACGCTTCTCAAATTTGATCAAAAACTTTATCAAAGAATGTTGTATTATCGGCTGTCTGAGGAATGCGATAAGTGTGAGAAGTCGATAGTGGTTACGAGTTTTCGGTTATACACAGCAACAATTTTGGATGTAAGTCAATTAATTGTCCATTTCTAAGACAATATCGCTCAACGACATGTAACAAAATTTTTTATTATTTACAAATAATAGCTTAGCCAAGAAACCCCCACCATTGAAATTCTTCGCAATTTGGAATGGGATAATTTTTACCGAGTATTTGGCTTTTGGAAATGCCAAATTTGCAAAAAGAAATGGAGGAGCGCTTATACTTGGATATCTCTTAGAGAGTTTATGATGCAAACATCGGCGCGGAATTTAAGAGATTATTTTATGCAACAGTGCAAGAATTGCCACGGTGACGCGAAATGCAGTGGTCAAAGGAGAAGCGACAGTGACACGAGCATTATTTATAATTACCAACCCCTGACGTTGGGAAAAAGCGACGAACATAAAGTATTATTATGCGCAAAGTGTCAGAGTGGGCAAAGCTACAGATGCAGATACAACCAAATTACATACACCGGTATTCAGAAATAAGTCAATGCAGAAATATAGCCAGCGAATATAAGGGGCAAATTTGTCAGCAATTAACGAATATATATGAGCCACTTTACAACATTTATTATACGTATATTTGTACATTTTGTCAATATTATATTTATATTATTATTATTGAAACATAAAATACAGTTGGTAAGTTCACTAAAGCGATTGATATTTTTGGACTGCAGATGCCAAATACCATTTGTACCTCGATATGGTAAGCCTCACACATAATGTATTCGCGGTGGGAAGAGTACTAGTCCCACATTAGCAAGATTGGGAATCATTTCACATTTAAATAAGACATACTAGAACATTTGGTTCCAGCAAGGGAATAGTGGTTTTTATCCTTGATAAAAAAGTCCATGACCGACATTTGATGATAGTGCCACACTATTATTTTCGAGTGCTGGCATCTGTACATTATCGCATGTTGATATTCACCTGTCCACTTGAATAATTTAGTCCATGAGGGACTAATGACAATGTCGAAGCTTGCAATCAAGAGCTTGCTTGAGAGACATTCGGGTAATGTAAGGACAATAGAATCATTGTTCATGTGACTTTAAGACGACCCCATCTTACCTATCTTACGTAAAGAACTTGATCTCCAATATCTTTGATAAAAATACGGATATAAGTTATGGCATTTTTAGTCTAAAAGTCATCGAAAAGAAGAGACAACAATTAATACTTATGACATCTTTCTGTCAAAATAACTCCTGTACTGTATCAGTCACTGTGCTTCCCACCTTAATTGTTTCTAATAATACTGATAAATTGTATTTTATTATCGAAAAGGAGAAAAAGACCTCCTTTCGAAATGTCAACCTTACTTACCCCTTCCTTGACTTGTCAAAAAATTGATATCATAACGATTTTTTCGCTTATTTTCGGAATTGCATACACAAAAAAACTCCAACAACAAAGATATTTCGTAATAACTCCCTTGGCTATGCTCCCCATCTTTAATTATAATAGATCGATTCTTCTACATGCCCATACGCTTATCTTAAAGTCTCGTTACATTCTACGATGGATCATTTTCGTACATAAACTTTTCATTTATGTACGCGTGACTATATTAATATTAATGTCGTCGTTTTACCGACGCGACGCGGTAAACTTTTTACCTAAATTACAATAACTTATTTTTATTTTTGCTATTCTATCGATGGGTTTCCAGTAAACAATCCCTCTGTCACCAGGGATTGCCGTGACGGATTTTTTCGGAAACAACGTCTTGCAGATACCATACGACTGAATAACCTGATTTTTAATAACAGACAGCAGAGACTACACAATAACCTTGAACGGTCATCTAATTTTAGAGTTAATAACCCGAGAGCAACAATGTGTAATCCTTGGGTATGGGATGTGTCAGGACTATGTAATAGAATGACGTAATTTCTGCGTAGTATATGCAATTATGTCACCGTTAAAGTCACACGACTGAAAAAACTACCGAGACGCTAGGGAAAGTTGATAAAAACGTTTCGCAGAATTGCTTCTGATTTAACACTATCCAATATTGCCCATCTTGCGTAAAAAACTTGCTCTCTCCAATAAATGAGTGATGGTAAGTCAACATACGTGATCTGATAAATTTACGCGTGATATATAGATAGATCAATTATCTACATGTTTACATCTTAAACATTTTCTCGTTACATTCTACGATGGCATCTGCAGGAAATTTTTCGTATCTAGACCGTACTATTTCGGAATAAACGATAATAATAATATAGACTTTCGGATTGAGAACCCGCCAACGTACCGAGAGTGGTAATGATCTACTTCACCGACGCGACGGTAACTTTCAACCTATATTAATATATTTATAATAATCTATAAACTCACTTTTATTTTTAGATAGTTGCCCCGTGAAAGAAGAAACCCAATTCTCTCCGTTACCAGAGATTGTCCTAAACGATTTCGCGGGCGCAATGTTCCATTGACGATTTTCTGTGGAATAAAGGATGGCTATAAACGGGCGCCCGATCTTTGGTTTAAGAACCCAAATCCAACAATGCAAAGTTCTTGGGCAACACTTTACAATACCATAAGGTTTATTACTAGTGACTCTCGATATATGACTGTTCTTATTTATAGGGAATAAATCTTTCTTATTACAAAACCTCGTTTACGCTATTCTTGTTGCATATATCTATTCAAAGTTGTTTTAATCTATCACAGAAAACGGTTTACAAAACGCATTGATGCGTTATGAGAACGTTATAGTGGGTCTCACAATATTCTACATTAAGTACTACTCTTCTTATACTGTAAAAGCACCTGGAGGGGGGGGGGGGGCGTAATATAGGTATATAAGATTCACCACAAAAATTTACACAAAATTTACGGTAAACGAAGTATTTGAAGGTCATGCGAAAGAGAGAAAAACCGACTTTGACGAACGAAGTAAGCAAAAAGATAAGTAATATGCATAGCGATTGAAATATTGAAGGGGACGTGCCTATGTAACACAAATGTTACCCGCTAAATATAAAGGTGCGTCGTAACACAAGTGTTGAGAACCTTAAGATTTGCGCACATAGAACAACATGAGTGTAGTAATTCAAACTATGTCGTTAGCATCAGGGGTTGTCAATAATCCAACAATTGACAACTTGGTCCAATCCTCCTTGGAAGGTGAAAATAACTTCTTAAGACTTGAATGGATTCCTTACTCGCAAATTACCGACGCAGAGTCAAGCCAAATTGACAACGTCTACTACGCCATTCTCAAGCAAGAATATCATGATGACCAGAAAATGTTGCTATCACTTGGAAGTAGCGAAGAATGTACACCAACACTTGTGAGTGAGTTTGCTAGAATATACTCACTTCCAACAACACACAACTACAACAATGACGTTAATCAGTTCATAAGATACAATAGATGGCTTAGTTATCGCAACTACTTGATAAAAGGATTTACCAAGTATGATAACAACTATTACATGGTTGCTGACAAACGCTTTTACCATTGTTATTCTCGGTATGGATTCTGCACCGCATGTGGAATACTCCGATGTAGTCCCATGTGGTGCATTTGTGGACATAAACAATTATCCGATGGATGGACTAGCAACAATAACCAACTCGATGAGTTTATTAAGAAATCTCAATTACAAACAAACTCACCAAATCATGCCTATTTGGAATGGATTCCATACAATTGCATTAGTGATGAGGGATATGGATATGGATACTTGCATGGACTACCTGCTGATCAATGTGTTCGATTTATTCCACTTGACATAACAGACGAGACACATGATTTATATTATGCCGAGGTAAACTATTTATGCATAATGTTTATTGAATTGCTTAAATAATTGCTGACTATTGTGTACCATGTCCACTAGTTATGTGATGAGCATCCAGCTAATAATGTATGGATAAATATTGGATTTACATATGATACAGACAAGCAAAAGTATTATCTAATAAGGGAATTTTATGAGAGGGGATTATGTCTGGCATGTACAGCAGCATTTGAACCTAGCATAAGTGCATTCTGTTTCTACTGTAAAGCACCACGACCTCTTAATTGGACGACTGGCAACAAGTCATTGGATTCACTTATAATGGAGTCATGGAGTAATGTTAATGTGGAGGATGAAGATGAAGACGATGCCTATATACAATGGATCGAATACTCTCGATTATCGAGCGTACAAGAGATAACATCATTACCCCATAGATGCAAATATATAGCAGATTGGTTAGAGCCGGCAATAAATGAATTGACGCGTGTGACACTCAAAAAGATAGTTGACGAACAAAATGATCAGCTATTTGATTTTTATCAGGTAAATTATTTTGTACATTCGATAATAATAAGTACGTATCTTGCGTTTAAACATTGATTTTTGTTGTAATGACTGTATTTTATTTACTCAAACAGCTAACCAAGGAATACCCCGAAATATTAACCCCGGATAATATTTGGATAGCTGGGTTCACTCAAGAGCCATCTTCTCGTGAATACTATCTAGTATTTTACCACATAAATGTAGTATTGGACAAATTTATACAAATTAATGAACATGTCGAGTATATGCGATATACTGACTTTAATGGAATTAAGGAAATTGGATCTGGATGTTATACAACAGTCTATTCTGCCAAATATAAAAAGTATTTAGAAGAGGATATGCCACAAACTGTTGTACTCAAACGGTTTAAGAGTTTTGATGGAATGCAGGAATTGTTTTTTTCCGAGGTAAGCAATTATTGGTAGTATTAATTAAAGCGATATTTAATTTGACGCTGTATTTATTTTTATTTGATAGTTCAGAAATCATACCATGTTAATGGGCGCGGCTCATGATGTCCTTCAAATTTATGGATTCACACAAGACCCAGAAACAAAAGGGTACATGATTGTTATGCAATATGCTAACGACGGTAATCTTTTGTCTTATTTGGATCAAAATATTAACAAATTGACATGGAGGATGAAATTACAGTATTTAAATATGATTGCGGATGATCTGCGTATTATCCATGGTGCAGGATTTGTACATTGTGATCTTCATGGCGGAAACATTGTTCTCGATAGCTATGACGAAGATCAAGTGAGTTGGCCATACATATGCAATTTTGGTCTCTCACGATCGGTGAATTCGTGCGAGTCAAATTCAACCATTCAAGGCGTTTTATCCTTTACTGCACCGGAAGTCTTCCATACCCGCAAATTTACTCAGAAATCAGACATATATGCATTTGGTATTATTATGTATTTGATTGCCTCTGGTGAACCACCTTTTAGAGATAGGCAGTTCGATAGAGATTTAATATGCGACAT